AAAAAAAAAAAAAAAAAACGTGTTCTGTGCAGAATCTTCTGGTATGGGCACGTTGGTTGTTCTTTCTAAGCGGCAAACCCTCGACCCTCCTAGACCAGACCTAAACCCTAAACCTGTACTTGAAGGGTCATGGGGGCTTAGTAAGTAAGCTAATAGTGGGGATAGTTGGGGTCATTTTAGGGCTTATAGAGGATATTGACCCTCCAAGTAGTACCCCTCAATAATCAGGGTATACTTTTTCCTAAGATCCAGCTTTCATAAAGAGACCCCACAACAAAAAGGGGAAAAGGGTACTACTGGGGTACCGAGAACCCTGAACCCTAAACCTGCAGTCTCCTTAGACCTATAATGCAAATTAATCTGATTCATACTTTGTTAGGATCATACTATAATAAAAGTAAAGCCCTAAACCCTAAACCCTAAACCCCAAACCAAAAACCCTAAAACAAAAACACTAAACCCTAAACCAAAATCCCTAAACCCTAATACCCTAAACCCAAAATACATTCCTCAGGAGACTACGGAAATCCAGAGCCTAGGGCCGCGTCGGATATTTCGCACAGCAGCTCAAAGCTAAGGGTACCCCAGACCCCTGATTAACAAATTCCCTCCCCTTAAGGAGGGTTTAGGGTTTAGGATCCACTTAATAGGGGATTATAATAGGAATCTTCATATTCAGGCCCTTAAAAGGAGGGGGTTTATTAATATTGTGGGTCTACATTACACCCTAAACCCTAAACCCTAAACCCTAAATAGTAGTTTCCATTTTCGTTTCCATTATCCCTATATTCATGGGTCTACATTACCCACTTGCATTAGGACACGCGTGTTTTGGTTTGGGGGTAGACCTGGAGACCCTAATTTTGCAATGGAGGGAATCTGGCAGCACCTACTTGAAGGTTCATGGGACTTAGTAACTATTTATAACTGGGGTTATAGGCCTACTCATAATTGGATTAGGCCATTTAGGGGGCTTATAAGTAGGGTTATAAGCCCAGTTATAAGTAGTTACTAAGTCCCATGAACCTCCAAGTAGGGTACCTAAAC